AAAAAAAAAAAAAAAAAAAAAAAAAAAAAAAAAAAAAAAAGACCATGGCTGATTAAACACTTTTATTCTTCTCTTTTATTTTATAACAGCACCTTGGATTTAGCAAGCAGAAAAGCGTGATGTTTGCTTTGGGGCCCAGTAGGTCTGCAGAACCTTTTGCAGTCCCAGTCAAAGCACAAAACAGAACAAGTGAGGTTGTGGCCGTGGTAATGGTCTGTGCTCTCTCTGGTTTCAGCTGAGTGACTGCTACCGAGGGGTGGTGTTTGACGGCCTCGACACACTCTTTGCTCGGAATGCTGCGGCCGCCCTCCTCTGCCTGCTGAAGGCCATCGGCAGCCGGGAGCATATATACGTTCTTAACATGGCCCAGGATTACGCAGCCATGAAGGCCCAGGAGAAAGCCAAAAAGGAGCAAGAAGGCAAGGCCTCCTTCCATCCCATTGGACTCAAATGAAACTTTGACATTTGCGATTCCATTGGCGCCTCACCTCTGCCCTGTAACGTGGCCAGGAGTTTGTATTTCTACTTTGCTGGAAGGGAACTGGGATGCAAGTGCCCTGTTGGGAGGTTGTGTGGTGAAGGCTCTGCTGACAGCAGGTGCATTCCTGCTTCCCTCCCATCACACTGTACGCCCTCCATCCTTTCTGCAGTTACAGCCATTACGGGTCGCATCCTGACTCAGGCAACTGATTTGCTTGTTGGTTTTGTTTAAGCCCAACTATGCATTTCTAATAAAACTCAAGGTGCCGATAAATTTTCCAAAACATCTACACCTTTGCCTGCTGCACACCAGGCACCATAGCAGACATTTTGTATACTTTGGGGCATTTAATTCTCATAACCCTGTGAATCTTGCCCCCATTTTACAGAAAAGGAAAATAGAGCTCAGGGATAGCAAAAGTCTTGTGCCAAATCACATTGCCAATTAGTAGGAGAACTGGGTCCATGTAATTCTAAAACCTTTGCTTTTCCCCTCATTATACCAGTGGCCTGGGAAAAAAAATTAATAATTGAAAGATAGGTACACACACACACACACACACACACACACACACGTAATGTTAGCTTAAGTTCCCAATGTAGTCAGAAGCAGCCCCAGCAAATCTTGGCCACCCAGGGCAGGGTTGAAGGACAGAGGATGGTGACGCTGTCCATGGGAATCAGAGCCCCACCTCCCAGAAGCCTCAGCTCCAGCCACACAACTGCCCTTCCTCACTCTGGCTTACCTCTCCCTTCTAGCACAGTCTATTCAAATCATAATACTTTTCTAATTAAGAAAACACTTACACACACTAGGCTGTCTCAGTCCTTGAACAGAACTCAAAGTCAGCTTCCTTATAGTCTCATCCCGAGAAAAATCTGGAACGGTGACCAGGCATCCCTCAGCAGTCATCCAGCCTCCGGCTGCCTAGTTTTCCAGAAAGTCATTTCTCCATAATGATCCACTTGAAAATAATTACCACTTTTCCTTTTCCGGCTTATCTTCAGAATGATATTTTTCCCAGTTAAATTGTGGGCTCCTCTTCCCTAAATCATCTGCATTTCAAATGTCCTACGATGGCATGCAGTCGTGCATTATGTTAAAATCTCATGTTTATTAAACATCTATGAACACGCCAGGCACTGGGGAAAGCACTTTACATGATCACATATTCAATTTCCACAACGGCCCTGTGTTGTTATTCTTATCTGTGATTATCCCTTGATAAATGGCAAGGAAAGAACTCAAATGCAGGTGTCTGAGTCCGCAGCTCAAACTCGCAAGGATGACAGTGGTGTGAGGAAGGGAGGTGTGAGGAAGAAGCTGATGCCTTTGTCCTAAGTGTGAACCACCAGGCAGGGAAGGGGGATTCCCCTTGGTTTGCAAATGGCCCTGTCACCATGATCCTGTTAGTGGCATATGCTCACAGTGAGTCAAGTCAGTGGGTGATATATGTGTCTTCTATCATTGCTGTGACAAATTACCCCTGTCTTGGTCTGTTCAGACTGCCATAACAAAGTTCCATAGATTGGGTAGCATGTCAACAACAGACATTTATTTCTCACAGTTCTGGAGGCTGGCAAGTCCTAGATCAAGGTGCCAACAGAAACAGTGTCAGGCAAGGGTCACCTTCTGGTCACAGAAATCATCTTCTCACTAAGTCCTGAAACAAGCTCCCTTGGGCCTCTTTTATAAGGACACTAATCCCAGTCATGAAGACTCTACCCTCATGGCCTAATCACCTCCTAAAGGCCTTACTTCTTAATGTCATCTCCTTGGGGAATTAAGTTTCAGCATAGGAACTTTGAGGGGACACAAACATTTAACACCATAGCAACCACAAACTTGGTTACTTAACGCAACACAGATTTATTGTCTTGCATTTCCGGGGTCAGAAGTCCTAACAGCTTTCTCTGTCACTTATCAAGGGGTAATCACAGATAAGAATGATAGCGCCTCCCTCATAGGGCCGTTGTGGAGATTAAATAAGTGATCATGTAAAGTGCTTTCCCCAGTGCCCGGTGTGTTCATACGTGTTCAACAAACATGATATTTTAATGTAATAATAGTATGACTGTATGCTATCTTAGGACATTTCAAATGCAGGTGATTTAGGGGTGAAGAGTCCACAATTTTAACAGCAGAAATTTCATTCCAAAGTTAATAGGGAGAATGAAAAGTGGTCATTATTTTCAAATGAATCATTATGAAGAAATGAACTTTCCGGAAAACTAGGCAGCTGGAGGCTGGATGACTGCTGAGGGATGCCTGGTCATTGCTTTGGATTTTTCTCAGCAGGGCCACGTTCCTTTTTAGGCTGTTGGGTAGCCTCTTTCTCTTGTCTTTTCCGGCTTCTAGAGGCCTCCTGCATTCCTTGGCTCCTGGCCCCTTCCTTGCAGCCCTGTAACCCCTGCTCCCACTGTCACATCATCACCTTCTCTGACTGCTTCTCCTGCCTCCCTCGAAAGGAACTTTATAATTAGATTGGACCCCCAAAGAATCCAATAAATCTACCCACCTCCAGATCCTTAATGTAATCAAATATGCAAAATCCCTCTGCTATGGAAGACAATTCTGAGGATTGGGATATGGCCATCTTTGGGGGCCACTGTTCAGCCACCTGCAGACAGAGCCCACATATGGAAGTGTGTGGAAGAAGGGACCCCCCAGCATAGGGATGAGGCAGACCAAGCACCACAGCAGCTGCCCCACACTGAGACCCTCCTCCACCTGGTTAGGCTGCCAGCGAGTCTGGGAAGGACTTTTCACCTTCCCATCTGTGCTCCCCTCACAGAGCGCAAGCACAAGGAAGCTCTTGAGAAAGAGAAGGAGCGTCTCCAAAACATGGATGAGGACGAATATGATGCCCTGACCGAGGAGGAGAAAATGACATTCGATCGGGGGATTCAGCAGGCGCTCCGGGAGCGGAAGAAGAGGTCAGGGCCAAGGGCTGGCCACAGCAGAAGCCGTTCCCTGGGACCGTCCCCGCAGAGTGACCAGGACTGGGGTGTGAGCCTGGGCTGTCTTCCAGGAGGGCAGCAGCAGCTGCAAAAGGCCCTGGAAGATGACCTGCAAGGAGCGGGAAGACTCCAGGGTGCTGGCAGCTGTACCATTCAGGGTTTCTCCCACTTCCCTTCCTTCTCACTGAAGGGCATTTGGGACCAGGCTGTAATGTCATGGGTGGTCCTGGAGGAGGGACCTCTGGCCCCTGTGCTGCCCTGGGGCCCCTGCTGGCCCCCCTGACCAGCGCCCCCAGGTGTGGCTTATCAGTCTCTGTGCTCACTGCCTCGGTGCTTCGGTATCCACAGCTGGTGATCCAGGGTCCACTTTCTTGACCTGGGCATAGCGACTGCTCCCCAGATCTCAGCCCTTCCTCCTTCTGCCTGGGTCCCCTTCTTGGCTTTGGGTGTTGCCTCCCATCCCCTGAGGTCTAGCAGTCATGGAATCCTCAGCCTGAGCAGTCCCCTGGGCGGGCTCACCCTCAGCCACTTTCTGTGCCCCTCACTGGGAACCATGCAGAAACAACTCTATCCCCCATGCCTCCTAGTGCCCAGGATACTTAGGACTGCCACCTCGGGCAATCTCAGAGGTTTAGGGGCAGTGGGACATGTGTCCTTTCTGCCCTCAGATCTTCAAAGATTGTAGGGATGGGGTGGGAGGCAGTGGTTCTATTGGCTACCTCGTCCCTGGGATTTCAGGAGCTGCAGGGAGAGAGCCTAGATACTCACCTGCAATTTACCCCTTCTCTCCTCTGCTGCAGCTCCACACTTCTCCCACTCACCTGAAAGAGCTTGTGCCCTCCATGGCCCCACAGTATGCCCTAATCTTTTTTTTTTTTTTTTTTGAGACGGACTTTCACTTTGTCACCCAGGCTGGAGTGCCTCCACTGTGCCTTGAGTGTCGTGATCTCAGCTTACTGCAACCTCCACCTCCTGGGTTCAAGCAATTCTTCTGCCTCCGTCTCCCAAGTAGCCAGGATTACAGGCATGTACCACCATGCCCAGCTAATTCTTTTTTGTATTTTTAGTAGAGACAGGTTTTTGTCATGTTGGCCAGGGTGATCTCGAACTCCTAGGCTAAAATGGTCCATCTGCCTCAGCCTCCCAGTGTGCTGAGATTACAGGCGTGAGCCACTGTGCCCAGCTCGGTGTGCACTAATCTTTCTGCAGCATGGTCCACTGTAGAAATGCCCAGTCTTCCAGAGTTACCAAAAACCCTGCTTTGAGATTTTAGAGGGAACTCTTTTTCACCAGGGCTGTTGCTTTCAGGCATTCATGTCATGGTAGACGTGGAAAATGCAAATTTGTTTCTCAAAGAGCAGCAACAACTTGTTTGTGTCACACCATATGCGCGCATGCACACACACACACAGGCACACACACACAATGAAGTAGATGAATTGGCTTCAGTGGGCAGAGAGCCATGGCAACCGGAAACAGGGATTCCTGGATGAAAATAACTGGGTGCACTATTTTCAGAAGTGTCATTCCCTCACTTGTTTGTACCTGGTACTTGGCTTTGGTGCACTCTGTGCTGTCAGCAGCAGGGGCAGGAGCGGCTGATTGACAGCAGAAAGGGAAAGAGAGGATGGAGGAGAGGAACACGGCTTTCAGGCTGAGCACCCTGGCTCTAAGCTAGCCACCATAGAGACTGCTTTGAAAATACCATTTCAGGCTAGGCACGGTGGCTCAAGCCTATAATCCCAGCACTTTGGGGGGCCAAGGTGGGGGCAGATCAACCTGAGGTCGGAAGTTCAAGACCAGCCTGGCCAACAGAGTGAAACCCATCTCTACTAAAAATACAAAAATTAGCCAGACATGTTGCTTTGAGATTTTAGAGTAATTGCTTCTTTTTCACCATGGCTGTTGCTTTCAGGCATTATCTCATGTGGGACCTGTCATCCCAGCTACTCAGGAGGCCTAGGCAGGAGAATCACTTGAACCCGGGAGACAGAGGTTGCAGTGAGCTAATTGCATCACTGCATTCCAGCCTGAGTGACAGAGCAAGACTCTGTCTCAAAAAAAAAAAAAAAAATCTACCATTTCTTACACCATTTGTTATTGTCTGAATAGCAAACATGTTCATCTGTGGGAGGCTGGGCCTCATCTGCACTAATACCAGAACAATCTTTGAAAGTTGCTTTTTTTAAGTGCTAATATCATGCTGATTTTCAGACTCGAAATATATATTAATGGATAATTCCTCCTAGTTGAGTTTCAATGAATCAGAGTCTTGCTGAATGACCATTCAAACATAGATGGGAGTCATTTTTTTTTCTTTCCTTCTCTTCCTTTCTCCTTTCCTTCTATTTATCCAGCTTACTTTGTTTTTTCTTTTTATGCCCAAGAAAGTTCTGCCCATCGTCCCTCCACGTGGAAATCCCTGGCAGTGGAGGGGTGGGTCATGGGGGCGCCTGAACTCTTTTTTCTCTGCCTTGTTTGAAGGGAGCAGGAGAGGCTGGCAAAGGAGATGCAAGAAAAGAAGCTGCAGCAGGAGCTGGAGCGACAAAAGGAAGAGGATGAGCTGAAACGGAGGGTCAAAAAGGGAAAGCAGGGAGCCGCGAAGGAGGAGCCATCCCTGAAGAAATCTCAAGCCGCGAACAAGCAGGTAACACCCCTCACTCGCTCCTCGCCCGGAGACAGAAGTGGAGGGCAGCCTGGTGCATTCCCCTTCCAGGAAATTAGCCTGATCATGTTGGGATTTTGTGGTGGGGCAGAAGGCAAGAGGAAAGGGACCGTTTATTGAACGCTCAGGGTATGTGAAGTGCTGTGGCTGTGCCAAACATAACTGTGTCACCCTGTGAGGTTCAGAGACATGAAGACAGTTTCAGGACCTCACCCACTTGGGTCTGGCCACAGACCTTGCTGCTTCCACCGCCCCCTGCAGGGCCCGGGATGGGCTAATATTAAAGATGTGTTCCCAGGAAGCCACAAAGCCAATGAGCCTGTGTGTCCAGTCAGGAGCATACCCTTGGCAACTGTCAAGTAAGATGCGTCGGCATGAGCTTATCCACGCAGGCAAGGGCCAGCAGTTTATCAGCCTGCCAGGCATAACAGTGACCTCTCTGCCCCCTGTGGCACTAGAAGGGCAGAGTGGCTAAAGGAGCCCCCACAGTGGTGATCCTGGCTGAGGGTCATGACCAGCTGGTGTGGGCAGCCATGAGTCCTGAGGGTGAAACTGTAACTGGGCTCCAGACAGGGTGCAGACTGGTCTAAGTAGGTGAGTGAAAGACAGTGACAGTGGCGGGGCAGACATGAGGGCAGAGAAATTGGTGTGCAGGGGTCTTGACCAGGGAGTGCTGAGGAAGGAGCAGGATCTAAGCAAACAGACCTAGGCACAGATTTGGGATGCCTGATACTGACCTGAAGGAAATCTATGACATCTCAGGCTGAGAACAAAAGGGGGTCCCTAGGAGAGAACTACCAGGACCAATCCCTACCTCTCCTAGGTGATTTTGTACATGAAGCCAGGAGGGAGAATTTGAGTACCTGTGTGTTTCAGCCATTCTTTTTGCCATTAAACAAGTTAATTTCTTATGTGACATAAGTTCAGGATAATCTCTGCAGAAGTCACCTTCCCAAGCTCACTTCTGAAAGACAACATTTCATTCATCATTAAAAGAGAGACTATTTGCCGCACAGTTAACCTCACATTATACCCACTGACTCCATCGTGGGTGTCTCCATCTGCTGTTGGAACTTTTAAGTAGGAGCATGTGGATTTTCCTATTTTACTCTCAGTTCAAGTTGCTGCCGCCTGAGCACCCACCCCATCCCCCAACCCCAGACCCACTACCGGATTCAGGCCAGGTACTTTTGCAGGTGCTTTGTTGACCTTGGATGGAGGTGATAAGGACTTTATCACAGTCATCCATTTGGAGACAGGCTTGTGTATCATTTGAGCTTAGCACAAAACACAATCAATCATGTTCCCTGGGGGGACTTCTTGAGACTCTTGGACTAATGCAGTTGCTTGGTCTGAAAACACTCAAGTTCAAGAAAAACTGCTGAGATTAGACGCGCTCTTAGGAAGTGAAAGAAAATTCCAGGGGGAGTGCCAAGGTGAAAGGGAAGGACTGAAGACTTTCCTGCTTCCCCGTCAAAAGGATTGCTCTATGTCTTGGACAGTCAGCACACCTGTTTTCCTCTCTGCTCTGGCTTCAGTCTCTCTTCTCACAGGCTTTTAAGATGTGCTCAAGAATTGCCCATTTTTAAAAAGAAAAAAAAATTCTTCTTCAACCCTGGTGTCCTCCAGCAACCCCATTCCTCTCCTTTCTTTCATGCTTGTCCCTGCTTCCTGGCTTTGCCTCATCACCCCTCCTTCCTGTCTGCCCCTTTCCTATCCTGACTCCTGTCTCTACCACTACCTCAAATCCAAGGCTCCAGCCTGTCCATTTCCAGATGTAATGGGCATGGATCAGGCCTTGACTTGATTGACATCCTCCTCCATGAGCTTCACACTGTTGACCATACCCTCCTTGGATCTCTCTTCTTTCTTCCTTTTTTAAAATTATACTTAAATTCTGGGGTACGTGTGCAGAACGTGCAGGTTTGTTACATAGGTATACACGTGCCATGGTGGTTTGCTGTATCTATCACCCCGTCATCTACATTAGGTATTTCTCCTAATGCTATCCCTCCCCTATCCCCCCACCTGCTGTGATCCCTCCCTTAGCCCCTGACCCCCTGACAGGCCCCAGTGTGTGATGTTCCCCTCCCTGTGTTCACGTGTTCTCATTGTTCAATTCCCACTTATGAGTGAGAACATGTGGTGTTTGGTTTTCTGTTCTTGTGTGAGTTTGCTGAGAATGATGGTTTCCAGCTTTATCCATGTCCCTACAAAGGACATGAACTCATCCTTTTTTATGGCTGTATAGTATTCCATGGTGTATATGTACCACATTTCCTTTATCTCTCTTCTTTCTTAGCGTCCTGGCCTGACCTTTCTGGCTTTCCTCCTTCTCTCTGGCTCCTTTCTGGACCTGCCCCCATCCATTCTTAGTCACTCTGCAGGTTTCCAGCCTCAGCCTTTGTCTCTTCCTTCTTAGTCTAAGGCTGACCCCCATCCCATGCGTGACGTCATTGCTCCCTGGATATTCATAACAGGTCAGAGGAAGAAGAGGGGAGTTAGGAAAAGCTTGCAAATTCCGCTGCAAAGTGAAGGACATTCCAGCCAGAGGGACGGCCCCAAAGAGGGTACATAGAAAGGCAGGTGCCACATGAAAAAGAGCTAAACCAATGTTTTAACAATTAACAGCTACTGTGTACCGAATTCCTGCCTGTGACACTCCCTGCCGGGAACTATGAATAGATCCCGTCTACCTCCAATCTCCACAACACCCGCAGAGGGAGACATGGGCATCACCATCATTTTAGAGATGAGGAAGTGCACAGTTAAGGGATATACCCAAGGTCCCACGGCCAGAAGGCGGTGGAGGCAGGCCCAATTTGTCCAACTCCAAAGCAGGCACTCCTTTCCCTGGGCCTTGCACCGCCTCCCAAGCCCTTAGTCCATCCATGGCTTCTGACACTAATTCAGGTTGTCCCTCAGACACTGGTGGTAACTCAACACGGCCCACGCCAAGCTCATCATCTATGCTGCTTTTTTCCCAGACCTCTTCCTGGCCATATATTCCTCCCCAGCCCTTCTTTCAGCTCCCAGGCCCAAATCCCAGAGTCGCCCTGACTGCCATTTCTTCACCTTCACCCGTGACCAAGCAGGAGCCCTGGTGAGGGAGTCCCCCTCCTAAATCGTTCTCAAGCCTGTCCCAGACTAGGGCTCTCCTTTCTCCCCCTATCCCCAGCTGTCTCGCCTGTCTTTGCTGTGGTACTGTGTAGATAGGAGGTAATTCTATCATCACACCCCTTGGTCTTCTAGTTCTGGAAACAGGATGGGAACGAGGGCACAGTTCACAGAAACATAAGGTGTATTTTTCTGCTTTTCTCACTTATTGACAAATTAGTTTAATATCCATGGAAAGAAATCATAGTGGAGACACGAAAAGTGTCTCACTTAGAGCTGAATCTTTGCACGCATCCATGTTTGTTTCATTAGGATATATTTCTAAACATGTCATCCCTGGGTTGAAAGTTGTGTATTTTACCCCTGACCTCACAGGCTATAGGCTTTAGCATTCCTTTTAATCCTTGCTGATTAGATTAGATGGGTAAACAATTGAATATTTTTATTGTTTGAATTTGCATTTCTGCTGCCTCATCTCTAAAATGATGGTTTCTTTGTTTTGATCACTCATGAATTTCCCACCTGGCAGAAAGGTGCTCAAAAATATTTGTTTTGTTTGTGGATACATTTTTATTTATTTTTTTCTTTATTTTTCGAGACAGAGTCTTGCTCTGTCTCCCAGGCTGGAGTGCAGTGGCTTGATTTTGGCTCACTGCAACCTCTGCTTCCTGGGTTTCAGTGATTCCCCTGCCTCAGCCTCCCAAATCACTGGGATTACAGGTGCCCGCCACGATGTGCCAACTAATTTTTGTATTTTTAGAAGAGACAGGGTTTCGCCATGTTGACCAGGCTGGTCTTGAACTCCTGGCCTCAAGTGATCTGCCCACCTCAGCCTCCCAAAGTGCTGGGATTATAGGTGTGAGCCACTGCGCCTGGCCAATCATTTTTATTTCTTTCGTGGATTGTTTTTGCCTTTCTTTTTTTTTTTTTTGAAACAAGTCTCGCTCTGTTGCTGAGGCTAAAGTGCAGTGGCACAATCTCTGCTCACTGCAACCTCTGCCTCCTGGGTTGAAGCAATTCTCCTGTCTCAGCCTCTGAAGTAGCTGGGATTATAGGCACCCGCCACCATACCTGGCTAATTTTTGTATTTTTAGTAGAGACGGGGTTTCACCATGTTGGCCAGGCTGGTCTTGAACTCCTGACCTCAAGTGATCCACTCATCTTGGCCTCCCAAAGTGCTGGGATTATAGGCATGAGCCACCACACCCAGCCTCTTTTTACCTTTCTAATCAGAAGGTTTCCTTTCATCTAGTAGCCTAACTGTTTATCCTATAAAATGAAATCTACTGGTGATTCTGATTTTCTCTATATCAATTTTTCAAATCTTAATATGTACACAAATCACCCAGGGATCCTGCTAATATGCAGAGAGGTTCCAATTCAGCAGGTCTGGGCTGGGGCTTGAGACTCTATTTATAACAAGCTCCCAGGTCACATTCATGCTGCTGGCTCTTGGGTCACACTCTGAGTAGAAAGGCTCTAAGCAGTTGCCTAGCAGCCAACATTAATGTTAGCAAAAGCAGTCTCCAGTGGCTATATCATCAGGAATCTTTAAACTGCAAGCAACAGAAGACTCAATTCAGGCTATCTGAGATGGTATGCACCTGTAGTCCCATCTACTCAGGAGGCTGAGGAAGGAGAATTGCATCAGCTCAGGAGTTTGAATCCAGCCTGGAAAACAACACAGCAAGGCCCTGTCTTAAATAAAAAAAATAAAAAAAAAAAAAGCAGCAGAAGAAAGAGACACAGAAAACCCTACTCAAAAAACTTTTAAAATATAACATTTATTTGCTCACATATATGAAAATTCATGGCTTGTTCCATCCTGAATTCTTATTTCAGATACTGTATTCTTCAGTTCTAAA